CTGCGATAGGAGTGGGAAAAGCGCTCTCAGCTTCAGACACTGCTCTCACTTGCTTTGCTCCCCGGTGCATCCCTGTTTGGCCAAGTGGGGGTTCTCCTATTCTCAGATCTATCACATACATCAATGTCCCCTCTCAATTCTCCCATGCAGAAGCCATTAGCTCATAGCTCTTGTGGCTGTTGGTGGTTTACCCTCACCCACTTGTATTTTGAAATTCCTGGGGATATTTTATTTCCTAATTTTGTTAATGCTCTGCATGGGTTTGGGTTTTGCCGTCTAGTTGCCCTACCTCTTGTTGCAGGCAGTTTGAGAAGTTCCAAAAACTATATTATTACCACCAACAACATTTTTCCAGAGCTGTATGTGTTTTCCTAGAGTGTGTATTTTAATTTACAGTTTTCGGTCACAGATGTTTTCACACGTTTGCATGTTCTGATGTTCGCATGTGTTCACATCAGTTGTTCCTTGATACCCTAAAAACACAAACAAGTAAAATGAAAAAGCGAGGCAGCTAGTGACATTTTCAAGACAAATGAGCTCTGATTTTCACAGCCCAGTCTTTGTTGTAGAATCACGCTATTCCTTAAATAAGCTAATGTAACCAAAGTTACATTCGCCTACTACTTTCACCATTCATCTTCCTTTAACACAGTGTAAGAAAGGAGAGGCAAGAGATTCATGTGACTCTCTCTTGATCTATTCACTTGGCAATTGGTCTTCATTGTCATTCTCTCTCTCTCTCTCTTTTATTTTATTTTATTTTTTCCAGATGGAGTCTTGCTCTGGAGTGCAGTGGTGCGATCTCAGCTCACTGCAACCTCTGCCTCCCGGGTTCAAGCGATTCTCCTGAGTAGCTGGCATTACAGGAGCACGCCACCACGCCTGGCTAATTTTTGTATTTTTAGTAGAAATGAGGTTTCACCATGTTGGCCAGTCTGATCTCGAACTCCTGACCTCATGATCCACCCACTTTGGCCTCCCAAAGGGTTTGACTCGCACCCAGCCAGTCCTCATTGTCTCTTATCACGCTTCCTCCAACTTCATGGCTGATCAGTTCCCAGGACACCTTCCTTTGCACAGATTCCCCCAAAGGGGTTGATGAGGGGTAAGACACACCCACCTTCACTGTCCAGTCCTCTTGTCCTCACCACGTCACACACAAAACCTTACTGAAGATTTAAACTAACAAGGGAACTACAAAACAAAAGGGACAAACATCTATATTTTTCTATATCCTAATTAAGGCTTCTCTATTGATCCAAAAGAAAACAGCAACTAAGAAGTGAAAACTTCACAAAGAGAGATTTTGTGGATGCTCCTAGTTCCTAACTTTGCTGTTATGTACCTTTTTTGCAAAAGCGCTTTTGTCTAATTCTCATCCCCATGTGAATTTCTGCCACCTTTCTAGAAAATCCCATGCTCTGCTCACAGAGATTAGTCTCTTCAGTGTCTTTATGGTGCTGCATTTCTCAGTGTGCAAACAGTTATGCTAGCAAAGCTCTTTGGGTTCCAGCAGAACAGAGATCAAGTCTGCATTTGGTCTTTGGGGGAGGAGAGGTTCCCAAGTCCCATTCTTTTGAGGTCTCTCCACCAGAATAAGCTGTGACTTTGCTGCTTTATTCTTTTCATGCCCAAGAAGTAACTCTTAAGTCAATCAAACAGACCAAAACACACACACACACACACACACACACACACACACACGCCACTTCCAAGGACAAATACTAATTCTAAGAGACATTCGAATTTAAAAACAACAGAAAGAACAGGAGCATTGTCGTCCCACACCGTGATTTGCAAGGCCACCTGTGTCACAGTGGAATTTCCCCTTTGCTTTGCTACACCAAGGAATTTATCTCAATTCCTTGGCCCTCCACCGTCACCACTCCACACACAATTCCAGACCTGCTAGTTTTAGTGCAGGAGACAGCCGTCACAGAATGAGATACCTCATAATGGCCATTTCCTTAGCTGATTGAAGATACTGTCAAAATCTTTTAGTAACACCTTTGAAGAATCTAATCATGTTCTTAGGCAGAAACCATCTTCCTCCCCAGTCCGCGAGAGAAGAGTAGAAGTCATTTTCACTCTTCCTGTTACATTCAGCTATACCTTGGCAGATCACACTACATTCTCATGAATGGAGACACCTTGCCTGCCCAAGGTAAATACAACATGAGAAGAATTCTCACTCCTGTGTTGGAGAAACACCTCCATAGCCCAAGCTTCCCTCTGCCATCTGTATGCCTGAGTTCAAAGGATCTTTGTGAGGGCATCAACCTCAGGAACAAACATTTCAGTCCTGCTACCTGCTGGACTCAGCTTTGTCCTCATACTCTCACAAAATTAACTTGGAAGCCTGGCCTTCTTTCTCACACCACCAGATGCCAGGTGTCTTCTTTATTCCACTCATACAGCTTCATGCAATAAGTTACAGAGATGACACTATATTTCACCGCAAGACCCACAGAACTCTTTTCAATGGTTTTCCTTCATGCAAGAAGAAGGTAGCAGCAGGTGCAATGTCTAGTTATGCCCAAAAAGTATAGTTTTCTTTGTATGAAAATTTGTTATACAGGCTGTATGAAAAATTGGGGAAAAAATTGGTCTTTGGTGTCAAAGGATCTGACTTTAAATCCCGACTTTGCCAATTCCACATTCTATAACCTCAGACTTAAGCTCACTGAAGCTCATCATAGAACTTAATCACTAATGTCTCAAATTATTGAGAATTAGCCTATATTACTATTTCTACAAAAGAGCATATTATATAGAAATATGGGTGTAAATGCCAGAATAAATAGAAGAAAACTGGCTCCTTTAGGAAGAAAAATAGCATGATGATAATCAAGTAAGACAGAGGACAGGTTTTACTGTCTTTTAAACTATGTGCATACATCACATTAACTAAATTAACTGTAAGCAAAATATCCATACACTAGTTTCGTTTTTTCCATTTACATTCAAGTTTCTTTAGTATCTTCTTTAGTATCACAAAAAATCTTAATAGTTCAAGAGTCCCTAAATGTTTCTTTGTACAAAACACTTTGCAGTTAGGCAAACATGCAGAAACATAAGCCATGACATAAAAAGATTGCCTGTGACTTTCCTGCCCTAATATAATTTTCTAAGTGTTAATCAACTATTACTCACACCCTTCTCCAAATTCTACCTTTCATTTTTTCTGGGCCGTTAGACAAGTTGCTGGGCTTCTATGAGGCTTAGTTTCTTAGAATTAGACCATTTAAAAAGGTTTCTTTTAAAGTCTGACATTATTTCCATCTCAGTAATTGACTGTGAAAATGGTGACTGAACGATTCCTGAAGCCCCTTTCAAGTGAAAAATGCTGAGAGCTGAGTACAAGGCGCAGCTCAGAATCCAGTTTTGTGTTTGCATCTCTTTGCAACACCTATTCTGTACACAGCTATCACACATGGGTAATTCCTTGACCTTCCCTTCCCATCTCTGAGATCCTTGTGACCCAGAAATAGTCTCCATGGCAAGACCTGGTGCAATCCACTCCCAGATCTCAAGAAAAGACTCTAAGGAGAGACACAACACAGCACCGTGGGATCTGCAGGTGACTTGCACAACATAAACTGAGCCACTAACACAGAACAAGCAGTGGACAGAAAGGAGCAGCTTGAGGTTGGATGTTTTCGAATTTTTTAAGAAAAAACAAGAACCACATCTGAGGTTCATTTGACACTGATGTTTCTTTATTGATATCATATTGAGGAATTTGAAAACCTTCAGTATTTACATCTTCAGAAAATACTGAAATTCACTATTTTAAATAGTTCAAAGGAAAGGGAGCTTAGTTTTATTTTACATCAAATCACGCAATTTCAAATGTTAGTTATTCTGAATTCAAAAATTACTCCACAGACAAGATTTATGAAGGGTAAGGTTTATTTTAGGGTAGGCTCAAATAGTTTAAAACAATCATGATGCTATTTTATTTTCTAAATAAAGTATGTTTCTGTTTAAAATCTTGTAAACTGTGTTTTTCAACCGGGTTTCCTTAGGAGACAACTATTTTGTTGCTATAGTAAATCTCATCCTCAAGTAATTCTTCCTTTTTCAGGTTTGCTCAGAGCTCCCAGCTATGCAGCAATAAAACCATCCACATAGAGATGGAATAGACCTATTTGGTCATCCAAGGCTTCTCTTTCTCTCACCCGGGGTTGCTCCAGGATTCTTCTCTAAGGCCTCTTCTCCAGTGATTTGTACAACTTTGCAATAGCAAGAAATGGTGCACCTTGGCTTCTTTCAACAGAAGATGCAGCAACTTTTCATCATTGCAATGAAGTTTAATTTTGCCCCCAAAATTCCGTTTTCTCATCAGGCTCAACTGTACCCTAGGGAGTCTCTCACACAGTCTGGCTTTGCTTGGCAATGACATCTTTAGTTCCTTTAAATGGCTTTCATTGGTGTGTTTTTAAGGCATTTAGCTTCAGCATTTTCACTATGGTAGAGGTCCATCCCAAATTCCTCCACATTTCCACAGCTTCCTGGCATTTCTTCTTTATGGAACCAAATTAATACAGAAGAAAAAAAGAATGTTTCCCTCCCAATGCCTCAGTCAGTACTGCCAAATACAGGCACACAGCTCTTTCCTTGGGACATCATCAGATTTTCCTCTTGGGATCCTCAAGTTCTTTAATATTTCTAGTCTTTCTTTCCCAACTTAGGAAACACTAGTCATTCACTCAACAAATATTCCTTGACTGGAAAATATGTTTGGGAGGCTGGAGATAAAAAGACAAAGTACCTGCCCTCAGGAAACTAGTAGTCTAGGGAGAGACACTGGCACACAAAAAGTTATATGACATCATGGCCGGGTGTGGTGGCTCACGCCTGTAATCCCAGTACTTTGGGAGGCCAAGGCAGGTGGATCACTCCGGGTTAGGAGTTCAAGACCAGTCTGGTCAACATGGCAAAACCCTATCTCTACTAAAAATACAAAAAAAAAAATTAGCCAGCATGGTGGCACATACCTGTAGTCCCAGCTACTTGGGAGGCTGAGGCAGGAGAATCACTTGAACCTGGGAGGCGAAGGTAGAAGTGAGCCGAGATCGCACCATTGCACTCCAGCCTGGTGGCAGAGGGAGACTCCATCTCAAAAAAAAAAAAAAGAAAAAAAAGAGTTATATGACGTCAGGTGGAGAGCAGGATAAAGCACAGGAAGGAACCTGGGGTGGCAGAGGGGCCAATCTAGAGAGGGGCCCAGGGGAGTTCCCTGTGAGGAGGTGAAGTCTGAACAAAGACCTGAGTGGAACAAAAACATCAAGGTGAGAAGCATGAGGAAAATATAATAGGGAACTTAGCAGACATGGGTTCCTTTATAGCTGGGCTGCAATCTTCCTTCTGAGTCAAGAGAAACTTCCTAAAATCCTCCATTTTGTTGTCCAGGTGCTCACTTCAGCAGAGTAGCATTTCCACCCCTCTCAAATGCAACAAAGCCTTCCTTTCTCAAGTGAGCATTGTGTGCCTGTCATTACAGAATAGTGCTGATTTCATAAGTGTGAGGCACATACAACCTTGTCCATCAGACTGAGAATCAAGGCATAGTCATTCTGGAAGGGAATCCTAGAAGTGGTTGCTGGGAGCAGCATCCCAGTTATCCATCATAACCCAAACCTTAGTGGAGTACAACAGTTTAATCGTTCTCACAATTCTGTGGGCTGAAGGGCTTGGCAGGGCAGCCCTGCTGCACTCACCCGGGGCTCTTGTTGGCTGTTATCACACGATGGATGGGTCTGGTGTCCTTGGAGCCTTGATGGGGCTGGAATGTCCAAGGTGGCACCTTCACTCACATGTCCAGAACCTCTGCACTCCTCTCTGAGGCCTCACTCTCCATGTGGCTCCTCATCCTCCAGGGCCCCTGCTTGTGGCCTCCCTCTCCAGCAGGACAGTCACAGTTATGTGTCTAACTGCTTCCAAAAACAAAACACAGGGGCTGTAAAACTTCCTGAGGCACAGGTAGCATCAATTCCCAACATTCCATTGGAAAATTTGAGTCACAGGGGCAGCCCACATCACAACGGGGGATGTGCACGATGGTGTTAAAATTAGAGGCAGATTTCCTTGTTGGGGGCCCTCTTTGAAGACAAGCCACCACCTACAGAGATCTTCTGTGAGCTGCCCAGGTAACCCATTCAGTCAGTGGCTGAAGCAGAAATCAAACGACCTGTTCTCTTTGCTCCATTTTCTTTTTTTACCTAAGCTGAGCCAAAATCCCTATTTGAGTCCAAAGTAATAATCACGTGATGCTCAATGACACAAGATGCTGTTAGCTCCCTGCATCTCCCAGCCAGTCCCTTCCTCCAGCCAGGGCTCTTCTGCAATGGGCTGTGTGTTTTCCTCAATTATGGTGCATATATATTCAGGCCCCAAAGCACTGATTTAACAGAGTTTATAGCTCTTTGATAAGCTCTAGACACTGTCAGCAGTTTTTCAAAGCGTGACTATTAAGATATATTTTCCAAGACTTGAAAATAAGGCAAAGGGAAGAATGAGGTTCTTTCAACAGGCATGGCTTAATAGGCCTGCCCAGAGAGTATTAAATTGGAAGAAGATACCTGTGTTTGACTTTGCTGACTAGTAATTAGATTCTGTGATGTTTCATAACATAGACTTCTGTCCAGGAGAAACACAAACGATTTCTCTCTAGCACATAAAATAACTCCACAGTTTTTGGTTTTATGTGCCATGTAGGCATTAAAAAGTTTTGCATCTAACTTGGCAAATAATTTCAATATGTATTTTTAAATGCTTATCAATACTCAGTTCCTCAAATTCTCCTTAAACCAGCTTTACCGTCTTACTGACTTCCTCATTAATGAGTTGAATACATGTCCAACACAAGTTCATTCTATTTGTCTATGAGAATGAGGGTTTCAATTTTCTCAGAAATATCTTTTACGCTACAGGGGTTCCGATGGAGCTTTCTCTGGGCTAGAAGCTGAGTGCAGCTGTGGCTAACATAGGCCCTGGGCCATTCTCCTCATTTATGCGGAGTTGGTTACCTTAGCCCATGGAACTGAATGCTTTATTTGGCAATAAAATCTCATCGTAATTATTCATGGGAACTTCACTTCACAGCGCTCAGGGCTCTTTCCTTGGGCTTCCAGCAGCTCAGGAAGAAAAGTCCTCAGCACTTCAATTCAGACATGATTTTACCACCTGAAAGACATCATAGCCCAGTGGGCAAAAGGGAAGAGGTGGAAGCCAAATTTTCTGGAGAAAGACTGTCATCTCTTCTAATTAATTCAATCCTGGATGTTTGACCTTTCATTGACAAAGTTAACAATCCTTATGCCCCCATATCCCATCGCTTGTAAAGATTCCTGCAGGAAAAGCTCACCAAGACCCAGGGCAGGCCCTTCATTGGCTTTGCTCAGTGTCTACTGCAGATTCTCAAGAAGTATTCGGGAATCCGTCATTCTATCCACTGCATTACTGGGTGCTCCTCACCTCCTTTTCCTTCCAAACATGTAAGGAAGCAAAATTCCACGCCACACATGTAGGGGACATAAGAAATACGATGTGCTGTATTTTTCTTTGCGTAAGCTTAGTTTCCATTTTGAGTCCCCATTGTGATGGCTATTGGAAAGGTAATCTGATTAATTCAGGGCCAGCTTTCTCCCTACCCCGGTGGGAACAGGTACAATCCAGAAGGATGCGAGGGTACCAGGGAACAGTGTGTGGCTGCTGCCTGACGTCATCCAACTGCTGTGGCATCTTCTGAGCCACTCTTCCAGCTCTGGTCCGCACCAGGTCTATTCTCACCAGCTGAATCTTGAGGACTTTGGATCCCAAGCAGATATTTTTCCGTTCTCATGCCTTTGGGGGGAACTCTCTGAAGCTAGATGTCTTTGGCCCACTCTGCCTAGATGCCCCATGCAACCATTTGTACTCTATGTTTCCCTTAGTTTCAAGAGAGTTATCCACAATTTAGAAATAAGACAAAACATGTCTGGGTGTTCTTTAAAATTAAGTGTGGAGCGTCATGTAACAAGGCCTCTTAGGGGTCACTGGGGCTCTAGAGTAGCAGTCCCCAACTGTCATTTTCATTAGTAACCTGCCTAGGAGAAAAATTTAATTGTATTCCAATTTAATGTTAATTGATTTCAGCCACTTCGTGTCATTAACAGTCAATTGGTTGGTTGCACACCCATGTCCATAGTAGTATCATTCACCATAGCCAAACATGGAAGCCACCCAAGTGGCCATCGGTGGATGAATTGATAAGCAACATGTGGTGCATATAGACAATGGAATATCTTGCAGCCTTAGAAAGGAAGGGAATTTTGACACATGCTACAACATGCATACACCTCGAGAACATTGTGCTACATGAAATAAGGCACCAAAATACAAAGACTGTATCATTCCATTTATACGAGATACTTAGAGTATCAAAATCATAGGGACAAAAGATAGGATGGTGGTTGCCAGAGGTTGCAGAAAGGGGGAAAGGGGGATATGGGGAGTTATCATTTAATGGGTAGAGGGTTTCAGTTTTATGTGATGAAGAGAGTTATGGAGACAGATAACGGTAATGATCGTACAATGTTAGGAATGTATTTAATACCACTGAACTGTACACCTAAAAATGGTTAAGATGGTAATTTTTTTGTTATGTATATTTTACCACAATACAAATTTGGGAGAAAATGCCACTTAAAGTTAAAAAAAAAAAATCAGTTGACTGATTAATTGGTTTAATTTACCCATAGTAAGATAAAGTAGATAGTCAGGAATAAGACTTTTCTGGTAGTGTTGAACTGAGGAGGGCCACAACATTGTAATATCTAAGATTTTTTCTTACCCACCAAAAACCAATTTTTTTAATACCAGGGGCAATATCGTTCCTTAACTGAGCCATCATAGTCTAAGGGAAGCAACTTTGTTCGACTTGTTACTGTTAATTAAGGACCAAACTCTTCCTATAAAAAAATCAATAAGTTGCAAATTATTTTGGTCAGTAAACTTGCAATTTATTTATAACCAGTAGGACAGATAATCCTGTAATGTATGGTTGTATTGCCTATAAGAATACATCCATCTGTTATGCATCACGTTCTTGTATTCCCCTTCATATTAGCTCTACAGTTCAGCGGTTCCCTCATTAACGATTTAAATCCACTGTTGTTATGCGCTCATGGTCGAGTTCTATGCAAGTCGTGTTTTTTAATTAAGAAAACTTATACTTTGACATTTGCCATTCTAAGGAACTAGAAACTATTGACAGAGAAGCTAGCATAAGTCCTCTCTGCTCTCAGATCCCCTGCCCCCTCATCAGGGCTCAGCCAGGACGTGGAAGGGCGCATGGCCCCTTCTGGCAGAATCTCATGAGCATCTAGCTCTCATTATCTTTTCTGACATTCTTCTCCACCACACGTCCTTGGGAATCTTTATCTTTTCTTGGGGAGTTGGAGATCTAAAAAATAATTGACTTTTATTGGAAAAAGAATTCTTCCAAGAGTCCATCTGGGTTCAGACTTTATAGCTCAAAAGTCCATGTTCTTAAAAAATCACAACAAGCTTTTGAACTTGAAAAGCCAAGAAATTGTCTACTTTGTTTCCTCCTTCTGCTTATAATAAGATGCCCCAAGGTCTAGTTTGAAGAGGAAAAGGCCAGAAAGTAAAAAGGAACTGCCAAGGAGAAAACAAAGATAAAATCATGCTGCACATAGTTTAACTCTAAAGGTTATTGCCGCATGACTTGCTGCAGGCCATTCACAAATTTTTTAAGTCCAGGCAGGAGACTTGACAGAGGGATGGATCTTGGTAGACCCAGAACTGTCACCCTCTGATGCAATAAATAAGAGAATCAGTGCATGTTAGGCCATTCTTGCTTTGCCATAAAGAAATGACTGAGACTGGGTAATTATTAAAGAAAAGAGGTCTAGCTGGGTGCGGTGGGCTCAAGCCTGTAATCCCAGCACTTCGGGAGGCCAAGGCAGGCAGAATAGGAGGTCAAGAAATCGAGACCATCCTGGCCAATATGGTGAAACCCCATCTCTACTGAAAATGCAAAAATGAGCTGGGCATGGCGCCACACGCCTGTAGTCCCAGCTACTCGGGAGGCTGAGTCAGGAGAATCACTTGAACCCAGGAGGCAGAGGTTGCAGTGAGCCGAGATCGCGCCACTGTACTCCAGCCTGGTAACAGAGTGACACTCCATCTCAAAAAAAAAAAAAAAAGGTCTAATTGGCTCGCAGTTCTTCAGGCTGTACAAGCATGGCACTGGTATCTGCTCAGCTTCTGGGGAGACCTCAGAGAGCTTTTACTCACGGCAGAAGATGAAGGAGGAGAAGGCACATCACATGGTAAAAGCAGGGAAGCGAGGAGGTGCCACACACTTTTAAACAACCACATCTTGTGAGTACCCACTCACCGTCACGAGGACAGCGGCAAGTTGCTAGGGATCTGCTCCCATGACTCAAACACCTCCCCTCAGGCCCCATCTCCAACAATGGGGATTACACTTCAACAGGAGATTTGGTGGTGGCATATATCCAAACTATATCATCCCACCTCTGGCCACCCAAATCTCTTGTAGGAGTAAAGTGGTATTGCATGGTGGTTTTAATTTGCATTTCCCTGATAATTAGTCATGTTGGGCATTTTTTTTCATTTTCTTTCTTTCGAAGAAGGTTTTATAAGAGGTTTTGATAAGTTGTGTCATTTGTATATCTTCTTTTGAGGATTGTCAGTTAATGCCCTTAGCCCACTCTTTGATGGGATTGTTTTATTCTTACTGATTTGAGTTTCTTATAGATTCTGGATATTAGTCCCTTGTTGGATGCATAGTTTGCTAAGATTTTCTCCCACTCTCTGGGTTGTCTGTTTCTTCTGCTGATTATTTCTTTTGCTATTCAGAAACTTTTTAGTTTAATTCGGTCCCACTTATTTCTTTTTGTTCTTGTTGCATTTGCTTTTGGGTTCTTAGTCATGAATTCCTTGCCTAAGCCGATATCCAGAAGACTTTTACTGATGTTATCTTCTAGAGTTTTTATGGTTACAGGTCTTAGATTTAAGTCTTTGATTCATCTTGAGCTGATTTTTGTATAAGGCGAGAGATGAGGATCCATTTTTATTCTTCTATGTATAGATAGCCAGTTTTCCCTGTACCATTTATTGAATAGGGCATCTTTTCCCCCACTTTATGTTTTTGTATACTTTCTTGAAGATCAGTTGGATGTATTTGGCTTTATTTCTGGGCCATTTTTTTCCACACGTCTGTGTACCTATTTTTACACCAGTACCATACTGTTTGGGTGACTATAGCCTTGTGTTCTAATTTGAAGTCGGGTAATGTGATGCCTCCAGATTTGTTCTTTTTGCTTGGTATTGTTTTGGCTATCTGGGCTCCTTTTTGGTTCCATATGAATTTTAGGATTGTTTTTCTACTTCTGTGAAGAATGATGATGTTATTTTGATGGAAATTGTATTGAATACATAGATGGTTTTAAGCAGTATGATCATTTTCATAATATTGATTCTACCCAATCATGAGCATGAGATGGGTTTCCATTTGTTTCTGTCATCTGTGATTTGCTTCAGTAGTGTTTTGTAGTTTTCTTTGTAGAAGTCTTTCATCTCCTTGGTTAAGTATATTCCTAAATATTTAAGTTTTTTGCAGCTGTTGTAAAAGAGATTCAGTTCTTGATTTGATTCTCAGCTTGGTTGTTGTTGGTGTATAGCAGTGCTACTGATTTGTGTATGCTGATTGTGTATTCTGAGACTTTATTGAATTCACTTATCAGACCTAGGAGATTTCTGGACGAGTCCTTAGGGTTTTCTAGGTATAGAATCATATCTTCAGTGAAGAGTGATAGTTTGACTTCCTCTTTACTGATTTGGATGTCCTTTATTTCTTTCTGTCATCTGATTGCTTGCCTAGGACTTCCAGTACTACGTAGAATAGAAGTGGTGAAAGTGGGCATCTTTGTCTTGTTCCAGTTCGCATAGGGAATGCTTTTGACTTTTCCCCATTGAGTATGATATTGGCTGTGAGTTTGTCATAAATGGCTTGTATTACTTTGAAGTATGTCTCTTTTATGCCAATTTTGTTGAGGGTTTTTATCATAAAGAGATGCTGGATTTTATCAAATGCTTTTTCTGTGTCTATTGAGATGATCATGTGATATTTGTTTTTAATTTTGTTTATGTGATATATCATATATATTGATATGCATATGTTAAACCATCCCTGCATCTCTGGTATGAAAACCATTTGATCATGGTGTATTCTCTTTTTGATATGCTATTGAATTCAGTTAGCTAGTATTTCATTGAGGTTTTTTGCATCTATGTTCATCAGGGATATTGGTCTGTAGTTTTCTTTCTTTGTTCCCTGGTTTTGGTATTAGGGTCATACTGGCTTCATAGAATGATTTAGGAAGGATTTCCTCTTTCTCTATCATTGGAATACCTTCAGTAGGATTGTTACCAATTCTTCTTTGAAAGTCTGATAGATTTCAGCTCTGAATCCCTTCAGTCCTGGTCTTTTTTGTTCTTGTTGGCAATTTCTTTTTTACTGATTCAATCTTACTGCTTGTTATTAGTTGGTTCAGAGTTTCTATTTCTTCCTGATTTAATCTAGGAGGGTTGTATATTCTGAGGAATTTATCCATCTCCTCTAGATTTTCTAGTCTGTGTGTAAAGGTGTTCATAGTAGCCTTGTATGATCTTCTGTGTTTCCATAGTATTGGTTGTAATATCTCCAGTTTTGTTTCTAATTTAGCTTATTTGGATTTCTCTTCTTTTCTTGGTTAATCTCACTAATGTTCTATCAATTTTGTTTATCTTTTCAAAGAAGCAGATTGTTGTTTATCTTTTGTAATTTTTTGTTTCCATTTCATTTAATTCTGTTCTGATCTTTGTTATTTCTTTTCTTCTGCTGGGTTTGGGTTTAGTTTGTTCTTATTTCTCTAGTTCCTTGAGGTGTGACATTAGACTATCTCTATTTGTGCTTTTTCAGGTTTTTTGATGTAGGCATTCAATGCTATGAACTTTCCTCTTAGCACCATTTTTGCTGTATCCCAGAGGTTTCGATAAGTTGTGTCAATATCATGCATTTCAAAGAATTTTTAAATTTCCATCTTGATTTCAGTGTTTACTAAAATGTTTTTTTTGTTTTTTTGTTTTGTTTTTTTGGGTTTTTTTTTTTTATTTTTTATTATTATACTTTAAGTTCTAGGGTACATGTGCATAACGTGCAGGTTTGTTACATATGTATACTTGTGTCATGTTGCTGTGCTGCACCCATCAACTCGTCAGCACCCATCAACTCGTCATTTACATCAGGTATAACTCCCAGTGCAATCCTTCCCCTTTCCCCCCTCCCCATGATAGGCCCCAGTGTGTGATGTTCCCCTTATTCAAGAACAGGTTATTTAATTTCCATGTGTTTGTAAAGTTTGAGGGTTCTTTTTGGAGTTGATTTTCAGTTTTATTCTACTGTGGTCTGAAAAGATGCTTGATATGACTTTGATTTTCTTAAATGTATTGAGATTTGCTTTGCGGCCTGTCATATGGTCTATGTTATAGATTGTTCTATGTGCTGATGAGAAGAATGTATATTCTGCGGTTGTTTGGAAGAATGTTCTGTAAATATCTGTTAAGTTCATTAGTTCTAGGGTATAGTTTAAGTCCACTGTTTCTTTGTTTGACTTTCTGTCTTGATGACCTGTCTAGTGCTGTCAGTGGAGTACTGAAGTCTTCAATTATTGTTGTGTTGCTGCCTATCTCATTTCTTAGATCTATTAGCAATTGTTTTTTAAATTTGGGAGCTCCAGTGTTAACTGCGTATATATTTAGGATTGTAATACCTTCCTGTTAGACTAATCCTTTTATCATTATATAATGTACTTTTTTGTCTATTTTTGCTGTTGTTGCTTTAAGATCTGCTTTGTCTGATGTAAGAATAACTATTCCTGCTCACTTTTGGTTTCCATTTATGTGGAATATCTTTTGTCAGTCCTTTATCTTAAGTTTATGTGAGTCCTTGTGTGTTAGGTGAGTCTCTTGAAGATAGCAGATACTTGGTTTGTGGGTTTTTTAAATCCATTCTGCCATTCTGTATCTTTTAAGTGGAGCATTTGGGCCATTTATGGTTAATGTTAGTATTGAGATGTAAGGTACCATTCTATTCATCATGTTAGTTGTTGCCTAATGCTTTTTTTTTTTTTTTTAATTGTGTTGTTGCTTTATAGGACCTGTGAGATTTATGCTTTAAGGAAGTTCTATTTTGGTGTATATATTGAGGTTTTGTTTCAAAATTTAGAACTCTTTTTAGCATTTCTTGTAGTGCAGGTTCTCTAGTAGCAAATTCTTTCAGCATTTGTTTGCCCGAAAAATATTTTCTCTCTCCTTCATTTATGAAGCTTGGTTTTGCTGGATACAAATTTTTTGGCTGATAATTATTTTGTTTAAGGAGGCTAAAGAGAGACCCCAATCCCTTCTGACTTATAAGGTTTCTGCTGATAAATCTGCTATTAATCTGATAGGTTTTCCTTCATAGGTTATGTGAACCCTGAATATCTGAGACTGTCTGAGTTAATTTAGAAAGACTGAGCACCAGCTGCAGTAGTAGCAGTGGAATTTGAGTTTGCCCTAAGGTGGCCAGAGGAATATTCTGGTGTTTCTCAAGTGATGGGAGGGGCCATAAAGCTCCCAAGAGTTTATGACCTTTGTATTAAGCTGTCACGGTGGGTAGAGAAACACTATCAAGTGGAAGAGAGTTAGGCAGGTCTGAGCTCAGACTTTCCTTGGGTGGGGACTGTCATGGCCACTGTAGGGGTTGGGAGATGGTTCTCAGGCCAGAAGGGCTATGTTTCAGAGGGGAGTATAACTGCCTCTGCTGTGCAGTAGAGTTCACAAGGGGAGTTGGGAATAGCTGGCAGTGGTAGGCCTCACCCAGCTCCCATGCAGTTGGTGAGGTCAGTCTCACTCCCACAGTGCCCTGCTAACAGCACTCACTGGGTTTAGATCCAGGCAGCCTGTGCACACAGGTCAGTCCTACCCTAGGCCATAAGCTTTGCCACTGAGAAAGCATGCATAGCTTTCAAGCCACACACCTCTCCATCTGCCTGCAAGGCCAGGTGCCCAGCTTCTACACTCATATCTGTAGCACAGTTTCCACTTGCCCCCTGAATTCTGTTCAAGGAAGTTCATGCCCACTTGAAATTATATCACAAAACTCAGTTGGGTGCTTCTTTCTCCCTGTAACCCCTCCCTGAGTTCACTGTCTGGCTTCCCCAAGGGGCCCTGTGAGATATAGTCAGGGATGGCTTCCCTGGGCTCATTCTGGAGACTGGGAATGCCTACAAGGCTCTTCCCACTGTCTTCTCTACTTTTACATTTCACGTGATTCCCTAAATCCATTCCAGCTTTAAATAGGGTTAAAGCCTTCTCCTGTGATCTGGATTTCAGATTCCCCGGTGGAGATGTGTGTTTGGAGGCAGGCTCTTCCCCTCCTACATTCCGAAAACTCACAGCTTTTCACCTGTCTTGCAGAGTATGCTGTGGCCTCTTTCAAAGGATCTGTGAATTCTTTCAGTTTTCCTGGTAACTTCCTGTGGTGGTTCTTTGAAAAAGTTCACAGTGTGAATCTCCTTACACTTTTCTGTTCTTCCAAGTGGGAGAGGCATGCTAACCCTGCCCCCATCCACCATCTTGGAAAAAAAAATCCTTCAAGGACTTTTTCCCATTGTCTTGGCTACTACCACTTGGCTCCATTAAGTTATGCGAATATCTCTAGCAAGTGGTTGCACCTCAGCCTGCTTGGATTCTTCTTGTGAAAACGGGCATTATTTTCTACCACATGGCTAGGTTTCAAATTTTCCAAACTTTCATGCTTTGCTTTTCTTTTAAATATAATTTCCAATGTTAAGTCATTTCTTTTCTCCAACATCTGACCATAGGCTGTTGGAATCATCCAGGCTACTCGTGAATGCTTTACTGCTTAGAAATTTCTTCTGCCAGATACCCTAAGTCTTCACTGTTGAGTTCAAACTTCCAAAGATCCCTAGGACATGAATGGAGATAATGATATTTCATAATGATGCAATAAACAATTCATTAAGAAGACGTAACAATACTAAATGTGTATGTACCTAAGATACAGGTTCAAAATATATGATACAAAAACTGTCAGAGCTAAGGTAGAGATTAATCTCTAGTTTAAGTTGGAGAATTTAACAGTTCTTTCTCAAAAATCGGTAGAACAAATACACAGAAAATCAATAAATATATAGAAGATTTGAACAACACTATCAATAAACTTAGCTTTATTAACATTATAGAATACTGCACTCAACAACCACAGAATACACATATTTTCAAGTGTACATGAAACATTCACCAAAATAAATCATATGCTGGGCCATGAAAAGGTCTGAATAAACTTCAAAGAACTGAATGTATACAAAGTTGCTAATAACAAAGCAACTAAAAGTATGATCTTTGGCACAATAAATGAATAACAAAAGATAGCATGAAAATTTCTAAGTATTTGGAAACTAAGCAACAGTGTTCTAAATAACTCATGCAGTGAAAAATAAATCACAAAGGGAATTAGAAAATATTTCAAATTGAATGATAAGGAAAACAAACATGTCAACATTTTGTGAAATGCAGCTAAAGCAACATTTAGAGGGAAATCCTTAGATGGGACAAAAGAAAGTTTTAAAAGCAATGATCTAAACTTTCACCCTAAGAGATAATAAAAGAAGAGGAAATTAAAGCAAAAGCAATAAAACAATGAAAATCAAAGTGAAGTAGAGATCAATGAAATAGAAAATGGAAAAATAATAGAGAAAATCAATGAAATTGAGAATGGGTCTCTTGAAAGTATTCATAAAATAATAAACCCCTATCTACAGTTATTTAAAAAGAGATAAAATGGCAATTGCCAGTTTCACCCTTGAAGGAGATGACATTATTCTAATCTCACAGACATTTTAAAAAATAAGAAAAATTACAAACAATTTTATGCCAATAAGTTTGACAAAATAGCTCAAATGAACAAATTCCTTGGAAGATACAATATGCTAAAATGAAATAAGAAAATGTAAACTTTGGATAACCCTACCTCTGTTAAAGAAATTAAACTTACAATTTAAAAGAACATTTTTCAATAAGAAAGCCTCAGGATCAGATGACTTCACCGGCAAATCCCATCAATCATTTAAGGAAGAAATAACACCAACTAATATTGTACAAAGTGTTTGGAAGATAAAAAAGACGCTTTCCAACATTCAATGCGGCCAACATAACTTTCATATCAAAATTTTTTAGCATAATTAGGCGTTACCATCTAGCAATACATTTCAAAAAGTACTATATCATGACCAGACAGGGTTTACTCCAGGAATGCAAGAGTGGTCCAACTTTTGAAAGTCAATTAGTATCATCCTCCATATAAAGAAAATAAAAAAGGAAGAAGTATATGACCATTTAAAGAGATGCAAAAATTATGAACACATTTATAATTGTTAAAAAATGAAATGAAAAACACACAAAAACCTCTGCACATAGGAAGGGAAGAAGACTTTTCCTCATCTGATAAGACCATCTATCAAAAACTTTCTGTGAATATCATAATTTATGATAAAAGACTGGAAATTTTCTCCTGAATGCAAGAACAAGGAAAGGACATCTGTCTTCACCATTTCTATTTGATTTTGTACTAAAAGTCTTAACCTACAAAATAAAGCAATTAAAAGATAATATAGGCCATAAAGATTGGAAATAAAGACGTAAAGGTGTGTTTATTTTCAGAGTATATGACTGTTACACTTACAAAGTCATTTAAAAACTACAAGCTACTCTTAAATATAATTAATAGGTGAATTTATTGAGATTGTAAGATACAAGGCTAATGCAATTTCCACAAGCAATTGGAAAGAAAATACTTTAAAATAACATCTGGAATAGTATCCAAAAGGCACTGGGCATGGTGGCTCACTTCTGTAATCCCAGCACTTTGGGAGGCTGAGGCAGGAAGGTAACCTGAGGTCAGGAGTTTGAGACCAGCCTGGCCAACATGGTGAAACCCCACCTCTACTAAAAACACAAAAATTCTTTGGGCATAGTGGCACAAGTCTGGATCCCAGCAATTCCAGAGGCTGAGGCAGGAGAATTGCTTGAATCTGAAAGGCAGAGGTTGCAGTAACCTGAGATTGCACCACTGCACTCCAGCCTGGGCAACACAGTGAGACTCCATCATAAAGAAAAAAAAAAAAAAAACAGCATTAGTATCCCAAAGAAAAATAATTAGAAATAAATTTAGCAAAATATGTATAACACTTCTGAGCTGAAAAACACAAAACATTGTGGACATAAATTAAAGAAGACCTAAATAAAGTGAGAGATGTGCCATGTTCATAGATTAAAAGCTTCAATATTGTTAAGAAATCAATTCTCTACAAGTTGATGCATAGATTAAACATAATCCCAATCAAATTTCCAGAAGACTGTTTTTATAGAAACTGATAACCTGACTTTAAATTTTATATCAAATAAAAAGCACCTAGAATGGCCAAAACAATTTTAGAAAAGAACAAGTTGGAAGACGTATACTAACTGATTTCAAAACTTACTACGAAACCTACAGTAGTTAAGACATTCTGACACTGAAGTAAGTTTAGATTTATAGAGCAATGGAACAGGATAGAGAATCAAGAAATAAATACATGCTTATATAGCCGATTGGTTTTCCATAAAGGTATCAACACAAGCAATTTAATGGGAGAGGAAAAGGAGTGTCTTTTCAACAAACAATACTGAATAACTAAATAACCACATGGGAAAAAAAGACCTTCAACTCCCCTACGTCTTTCTGTGCACAAAAGTTTATTTCAGAGGGATTATTGGCTTAAATATGAACGTTTACACCAAATGATTCTAGAAAGAGTCTAGAAAGATGGATACTATTTTCTCAATCTTGGGATAGGCAAAGAATTCTTAGGCAGAACACATGATGTTTTAATTATTCAAAAAAAGTATAAATTAAAATTCACCAAAACGAAAATATTTTGCTCCTCAAAACACACCATCAAGAAAATCATCAGATGTAGCCGGGTGTGATGGCTTACATCTGTAGTCCCAGAATATTGGGAGGCCGAGGTGGGAAGATCACTTGAGGCCAGGAGTTCAAGACCAGCCTGGCCAACATGGTGAAACCCCATATGTACTAAAAATACAAAAAATTAGCCAGGTGTGGTGGCCGCAACTATAATCCCAGCTATTTGGAAGGCTAAGGCAGGAGAATTGCTTGAACTCAGGAGGCAGAGGTTGCAGCAAGCAAAGATTGCATCACTGCACTCCAGCCTGGGTGACAGAGCGAGACTCTGTCAAAAAAGAAAAGGAAGGAAGGAAGGAAGGAAGGAAGGAAGGGAGGAAGGGAGGAAGGGAGGAAGGGAGGAAGGGAGGAAGGGAGGAAGGGAGGAAGGAAGGAAGGAAGGAAGGAAGGAGAAAGAAAGAAAGAAAATCATCAGACAAATCATAGAATGAAAGGAAACAAACTATCTTTATACACACACACACACACACACACACACACACGAACATGTATCCATACATGTATACCTACTGTATAAAGAACTACTGTAACTCAAAAATAGAGACAACACAATTTTTTTATGGCAAAAGACTCAGACATTTCAAAAGGAATATTCACAAATGGTCAATAGACACATGGAAAAATGTTCAACATCATTAGTCGTCAGGTAAATACAAATGAAATCCATAAGATACCTCTACATACTTATTAGACTGATAAAATTAAAAGCATTACTCTGTTAATAAACAGAGCTTTCAGACATTTTTGTTGCGAATTTACATACATTTCTGTTGAGAGTCTAAAATTGTACAATCATTTTAAAAATATTTGTGATTTCTAAAAGTTACATATACATCTACTTTATAATTATGCAGTTTCACTGCTCGGTTATTATTGAAGAGGAACATGTACATACGTCCACTAAAGATATGCACAGGAATTTTCATAGCAGCTTTGTTAAACTGAAAACAACCCAAGTCTCCAGCAACAGGAGTATAAATAAAGAAATTATAGCCTCTTCTTACAAAGGAATTCTATTCAGCAATAAAGAATGAACTATTTATTTCACGTTTCAAAATAGCTAGAAGAATTGTAATGTTTCCAACACAAAGGAAAGATAAATGTTTGAAGTGATGGGTACTCCAATTACCCGGATTTAATCATTACAGCTTTTACACATGTATAAAAATATCACATGTACCCCAAAAATATGTACAACTATTACATATCAATAAAAAAATTAAAAATTTTAAAAGAATGAGCTGTTTATACAAGCTAAAACACAGTTGAATTTCAAAAGCATTAGGCTAAGCAAGAGATCCAAGACACAAAAGATTACATACTGTATGCTTCCAATTATTATTAGGTTGCTGCAAAAGTAATAGCAAAACCACAATTACTTTTGCATCAACCTAATAGAAGTTCTAAAAGAGGAAAAACTAACATAGGGTTATAAAAATCAGAACAATGGGCCAGGTGCAGTGGCTCACACCTGTAATCTCAGCACTTTGGGAGGCCAAGCTGGGCAGATCACCTGAGGTCAGGAGTTCGAGACCACCCTGGCCAACATGGTGAAAGCCCTGTCTCTACCAAAAAGACAAATATTGGCTGGGCGTGGTTGTGGGTGCCTGTAATCCCAGCTACTTGGGAGGCTGAGGTACGAGAATCACTTGAACCCGGGAGGCGGAGGTTGCCGTGAGTTGAGATTGTGCCACTGCACTCCAGCTTGGGACATAGAGCCAAACTCAGTCTCAAAAAAGAGAAAAGAAAAAAAAAGGTTGCCTGATGAAGGATGCGGGGATTGACTGGGAAGAGACAAAAAGAAAGGTCGAGATGATGAAAATATGCTATAACTTGACATGGTGTGGGTTATAAAGGTGTTTCAGAACTCATCAACCAGTGAACTCAAGATCTGCACATTTCACTGTATGTAAATTAAACCTCAATTTTACAAAAATAAAGAA